TTTTTTTCCATTACTCCCTAATAATCTTATTTTCATAATAATATAGTTTTCAAATTTATGTATGTGAGTTTTGACAGGATAGTCATTGTTTTGTCGCGCTTTTACATCGCTTGTCGTGTGTAGCAACTCACACTCAAATTCCTGCACTTTAAACATCTCACAGCGTCGTTCTTTGAAGGGTCATCGTTTTGCCGCTAATGTTGTCAGAAATGGTTGTTTGTGAAACAATTTTTCTTCATTTGCTTAGTGACTCAAAAGGACTCAGTCCTTCAAAGGCGCTTCGCAGTTTTCTCATTTTCTTATGTGCATTGCTCCTCTGGAAATTTAACAAAGAACTTTATCAGTGACCTAAAAAAGTAATCTCCTCGTTTCTTCCATATGTTTTTGAGTAATCTGCAGACTTATCTCTGGTTCTTCATCATTTTTTTGTACCAAATCAACACGTGTTTGCTCGTGAAAAACTGCAGCAGCTGCTTATAAGTAGAATTTTTAGTTTCATATTTTATAGCAACTAAAAACTTAAAGCGACGTAATTTTATTCTTCTCATATTTGGAATGGTCATAAATCAGAGTTTACTTCTTTGGTCTAGATCTGTGGAAAATGGAATCTTTATGGCAATGATTTCCGGGCGTTCTTAAGAAAAGTGCAACCGATCATCTTGAGAGTTACACTGTCTATACCGTTCTAATCTTATGTTAGTGTCACTTGTCATTAGCTAAGCATTTTATCGAAAATCTCGGAAAAGCAATAGTTCGTCAACGAGGTATTCCATAACTTTCCGTCCGCACTTTCATGATGGCCCACGTAGTTTTGATATTGTTAATGATCAAGCTTGCGAGTTTTGTTTATTTGTTTAGTTGTTTATTAATATTCAAATTTCACTGCTGTTTATCACTAAAACCCGCTTTGCTTCATTGCCAATGATTCCTTCATCCTACTTCGTTTTCTTGAAAACTTCTCAAATTCTTTTTTTTCTCATGCCCATCAAATTGAGAGCGTTAAATTTGTACGGATAATTTATGCATCAGCTATGTCGGAGGAGGCTGCAACCACTCCACCCGTCATAGCTGAAAATGGGGAAAAATCGGCGGAAACTGAAGTCACATCGAAAATGGCCGATGTGAAGATAGAAGAGAAGGTGGAGGAGAAGAAGGAAGAAGTGAAGGAAACCGCCGATAGTTTTCCGCAAGGCGACCAGGACGTGAAGAGTGATGTGGGTTTCCTTTGTAAGCACCTTATTTCTTGTCGCCTAACCCCTTACACCTTTCTCTCGTCCACCTACGTAGTGTTTTCTTCAAACTTTGTTCGAAAACAAACCTTGTAATTTCAAGCCGAGAGAGAATGGGGATGACGGCTTCCATACTCCGGAAGCAACCGATGAGGTGCAGAAAGAGGATGCCATAAAGGAGAACAAAGAAGGTATGTTAGAATAAATTTCACTTTGCATGTAGATATCGTATCGTCGTATCCTCCATATGCAATCTTAGCCCTTCACGTTTCAACGCGAGCATTTACAGGCTAATTTTGTAAGCGCTTTATTTGTAATTTTACAGGTGAGACCAAGCTTGATGACGATGAAATCGAGGACAATCCTGCGTACATTCCCAGAAAAGGTAAAAACCCCTTTTTCAATTGTTTGCTTTTTACGTTCTTCTTGAAATTTATGAAACATGTTCAAAATCCCCTCACTTTAATCGTTTTTGACCTTCACTCTATTTTTTCGTTAAGCGCTCCTGTAGTTGGATCTTATAGGCAGATATTATATGCACGACTCTCGTGATGCTGAGGAAGAAGTAGAGGAGGAAAAAAGAACCAGTAGAGCCGATGGGACCTGGAAACATGACAGGTTCATATTA